CTACCTCAGTTTCCTTTCCTTCTGGAACCCCTATTATTCGAATATTATTTTGTTTTGTATTGTCCCAAAGCTCCCGTAGGCTCTCCTCCTGCTTTTTAATCTTTTTTTCTAGAAGTTGCTCTACTTGGGTATATTTTTCCATCTTATCTTCTAGCTCACTGATGCGGTCCTCTGCTTCATCTAGTCTACTCTTGATGCTTTCTATTGAGTTCTTCATGGTAGCGATGTCATTTTTCATTTCCTCTTGGTTCTTCTTCAATTCCTCGTGGTTCTTCCTCATTTCTTCTTGGTTATTGTCAAATTTCTCTTCCATTCTTTTTAGCCATCCTATGATCATTATTCTGAATTCTTGCTCTGTTAGGCTGGTTGCCTCTGACTCTACTTCCTTTTCTGGTGATGCCTGCTTTTCTTTTATGTGCAGACTATGTTTTTGTCTCCCCATAGCCTCTCTTTTCAGGGTGTCTGGTTATGTGGTGTTCCTTCTGCTGCGTTGATTTAAAGGTACAATATACAACACTACCAGGTACAACACAAGAGGCACTTAACAGGAATGTATTTACAATATTAATAACCTCAAATAAAGGTGACCACTAGAGAAAGGCAACTTAGGGGTTAGGGGAGAAGGAAGAAAGGTAAAAATAAAATAAAGAAAATTTTTTATAAAATTAAAATGTAAAAAAAAATTAAGAAAATAAAATAAAAAAAGAAGGATAAAGAGATATAAAGAGAAGAAAAAAAGTAATGACAAAATAAAGTTGGAAAACAGGGAAAAAAAGAAAGGAGAGAGAGAGAGAGAGCGAGAGAGAGAGAGAGAAAGAAAGGGAGAGAAGAAGCAAACTAAAAGAGAAATGGGAAACAAACTATATATATGTGGAGAAAATTGCCATAGAACAACTACTGAACCCAGCCAATGCCAGTAACAATACTTGGAGATTAATACAAACTACAATATCCACTATTATTAAGTAAGTCTATGATATACAGAAGTAATAGAAACAAACAAAAACAGAGGATTTTTAAAAAAAAAATACAATGCAACAATAACAACACAGGAATAAGCATAACCATTTCACTAAAAAGCATAAAAATTCACAATAATCAACCCTCACACAAACAATGCGCAAAGGATAGAGGGGAGAACAGTTTTTGTTTTTTTTTAACTAGTTAATATAGTACAGAAATTGGTATTTATACACTTGGATCAGGGGTTGGAACTTAGGTCTATACGTATAGTGAGAGCTTTAGCAAGGGGTATACAGAAAGAATATAGGAAAATCTAGGGCCGGAAAGGGATAGGATAAACCGTTGACTAAAAGGGTAAAGTTTAGTAAGAGAGTGATGGTGTAAAGGTCAAGTTGAGATAGGGTTGAATGATGCTAAAGTAGTGATTATAATAGAATGGAGGTTATTCCCAATGTAAAATACAGAAAAAAAATAAAATAAAATGGTACTGGAGAGGAAACAAACAGACAAACAAACAAACAAACAAACAAGAAAAAACAAAGAACAAAAAAAAAAAAAAAAAAAAAAAAAGGAAAGAAACAAAAATTGCAAAATAGCAGTAGTAATAGTGATGATAAAGATTGAAAAATGTAATAATTGAAAAGGTAAAATGAAGTAAGGAAAAAAATAGAAAAAATTTTTCTTAAGTAAATGCTATAAAAAGTGAAAATTAAATAAAAGATGTAAAAAATGAAAATAAAATAAAGAATAGTAAAATTAGCATAAAAATGTCCAGTAGTGGTCATTCACTTCCTCTGATAATGTATTTGGCACTCCTGATTCTCAGACCAGACAGTCTTGCAGTCCCCAGCATTCCACTGCACCTGAGTTTTGTAAGGTAAACCTTAATTTTAAGCAGGTTATATCTTAGTTATTTGTGTCCGTTTATTTTTGATTAATAAAAAGAAAAAAGAGAAAAAAAAAAAAAAAAAAAAAAAAAAAAAGAAAAAAAAGAAAAAGAAAAAAAAAAAAAGGCAGTTTGTAATTCGGCTCTTAGGTGTCAGTGTTTCCGGTTTGACCTCCCAGTCTTTTTGGTTGCTCTGGCCTTCTTTCTCTATGGCTCTAGCTGGCTCCAGGACTATGTCTTCTGGCTCCAATCCCTTGTTTCCAGAAGGCAAATTCCCCCTACAATTTCCCCGGCTATGCCCAACTGGGCAGTTCTTCTCTAGTATTCAGAAGCAAGGGGATGAATGGGAACCGGTGCCAAGGTGTCCAGATGTTCCGCCCTTGGCGGGACAGCCGCTATTCTTAACACACTGTCCCTTGTCCCCTGGCGTTTTAAAAAAGCCCCTCTTCTGGGGGGGATTACTTCAAACCCAGCACTAGGTGTCGCTGTAGCCTTCTCTGGGCTCCGCTCCGCCTCCGCGGGCTGTAGTTCGCGCACCCGTCTACAGTGGAGGCAGGGCTGGAGCTCCCCGGCTACCGTAGCAGAGGCGGGCCGGAGCTCCCCGGCTGCCGTAGTGGAGGCGGGGCCGGAGCTCGCCGCCGCGGAACCCAGATCCCTTAGGCTATCCCCGCAAACTCTGACCTTTCCGTGGGTGACTGAAGATCTCCCCGGAATCCACGTGTCTGCGCAGCTCTGGGAGTCTCAGCTGCTCGATGGACCTCCGGGCTGTGCGTTTTCCAAGCCTCAGAGAAGCTCTTTCCTTCCTGGCAAGACAATGCAGCCCTTCCTCCACGCCCGCAGCCCACCGCACGCTGCCTCCGCTGCCCCCGCCGCTGCTGCTGCTGCTGCTGCTGCTGCCGCGGCCGTCCTGGCCACTTGGTCAGGAAATCCTGTCCAGCGGACTCTCCCTTACCCTCCTTGAGAGCTCCGCTGTCCCTTAGCTGCCAATCAACTCTCCCTGAGCGACTCAGAAGCCCCCTTTATCCGTTCTGGGACCAGAGTCAGAATAGGTCCGACTGTTCGGTCGCCATCTTCAAGCTCCTTTTTTTTTTTTTTAACTTTTTATTCAACTGCCAATTACTCCTACTTGTTCTGGATATTCTGGCTTCTAAAGGCTCACAAACCAATGGCCAAAACAAGCCTGCTTTGCTACAGCAGAGGCCCCTCATGATCACTGTCATTACCAACCCCATCATCATCATCCTCATATCCATCATTATTGTCATCATAATCAACTTCATTATTACACTTATTGAGCAATTTCTGGGGACCAGCCACTATTCTGAACACTTTACATATGTATTCCACTGGATTCTCATCCAAACCTGTAAGACAGGCCCTCCTATAATCCTACTTTACAGTTGAAAAAACGGAGGAAGAAAAAGTAATTTGCCCAGTGCCGCACGCAGCCAATTGTGGGGGTTGGAATTTTTAACCAGGACACCCTGACTCCAAAGCCTCTTCTCATTGCATATTCCATCAGTCTGCATTCCCTATAATTAATTCAGAATTTTCAAGCCTCACCTTTCCCTTAAATTTTATGCTGTTTTTCTTTTTCAGGACGCAAGTGAGTTTCTTCCCTAAGAAATCAATTATTGCAAATGCTTGAAAGGTCATAGTGTATTCTTGTCTGTCATTGACAGGCAATTTATGCAAGACACAATGCCTTACTGGGAAAAGAAAATGTTTAGTAACCTTTAATTAGAACTGCAAAATAGAAATAAGCAGTTCTGGGATTCAAGTTCTAATATCAGATATTACTGTAATTATAAATAATAATTATGATAATAAAAAAAAAACCCACACACTAACTAGCAGGGTGTGTTGAAATGAAGTTTCTTAGAAATGGCTTTTCTTTTGAATACTATCTATAGAGTTCATTTAGGGAAAGATATTTGATAAATATCCCCAGGCTTGACTTTCAGAGGATTGGGAAATCTGTTTTTTAATAGATAAGATTTGTATTTTTTTTTCCTTTACTTTCAGCTGCCAGGAAAAACGAAACAAAACAAAAATCAGTTTTGCAGCATCTACCTCCACATCTGAAGAAAAGATTTAAAGGAAATCATCTCTGAAATGTAGTTTCAACATATTCTTAGGCAGTAAAATGTAAGTTTGGATTGATTTATTCAGTCTGGTCTCCTAAACAATTTTAAGTGCACATATCTACATTTAATTTTCTAGATTGATGACACGCAGCAGCAAGTTAATTGGGGCACTTTCTTTCATTAACATTTCCAATTAAAGCCCTAGCCAGTTTGTCTCAGTGGACAGAGCACCGGCCTGTGGACTGAAGGGTCCTAAGTTCGATTCCCGCTCCAGGGCACATACCTCAGTTGCAGATTCGATCCCCATCCATGGTCGGGGCATTGGCAGGAGGCAACCAATTGACATCTTTCTCTCTCACATTGATGTTTCTCTGTTTCTCCCCCTCCCTCCCATTCTCTTTAAAAATCAATGGAAAAAAATATCCTCTGGTGAGGATTAACAAAACAAAACAAAAATTTCTCACTAAAAATTATAAGAAAGCCTACCTTTGGCTTTCTTATAAAAGTGGAGGAGGAGGAGTGAAAGGGAGAAAAGAGGGGGGAGGGTGACAAGCACAAGCCTGCCCCCCCAGCAGGGCTTTGCACCCATCATCTCAAATAACGGAGCAAGTGTCGTCACCTCTCCTCTACACATGAAGGAAATAAGACTCAGACAGGCTGGGTGGCCTTCCCAAAGCACTGCAGTTTCTAAACGTGAAAGCCCAGATTTAAATTAAAGTCTGCCTGATTTCCCACTGCACCGAGAATGTTAAATTAAGTCGTTCATTTTAATGTTGGTGATATAGGACATTGGACATATGCCACTGCCACAAAGCAGAAGTAAATGGTCGATTAAGAAAACCATGAGGCCAACAGTAATCCCTTTTAAATTTTAATCATTTAGTATCTGAGAGATTCATTTGTGGCCTCTAACATCTAATAATTGAACCATCCTACCTACATTGAAATTCCAGTTAAGTCACATTACCTGTTAGAAATAATCATTCTCTCTTTTCTAAATTTAAATTTAAAAGGAAATTCAGAAACCTTGCCTGAGGTGACATCTTCAAATATAAGAATCTTACCTTTTTTTACACGACTACACCAGCCCTGCTCGTTTCTAATGGGCTCATCTTTCTGGAAATCATACTTTATCAAGTCAAAAGTGAAAAACAACTGCAAAGACAAAAATCAAATGGAAACAAGACTTAGTTATTTGTGCAGTGACATCTATGGGTAGGAGATTTTGTACTATGTTGAAACAGTGAATTAGAATGTGGATTTATTAAAACACGGACTCTTTACTGATGCAAAATTAAATATTTGAACATCGGAATTGAAGGTATTAGTAAACAGCACTCATGTGCTGGCATTTACTTTCATTTCTTTCTTGTTGTTCATTACACCTGGGCAAACATTCCTAACTTTTATCCTGAATGAGAGAATGCAAGCAATCCCTGCACTCAACTGCATACTCAACTAACTACTGGGAGCAGAACCACTGCCTTGCCTTCACCTTTTTGCAGTCATTCAAAACATCCCCCGAAGGGGAACGTTTTAATAGAACTAAAATGTAAACTATGTGAATATAAGGGGCTCATTGTCTATTTTTAATTTATAATCCCTTGAAAAGGGACAGGTGCCCAGAAGGTACTTGTTCTCTGACACTTAGATCTTTCCCCCAGGCCTTTCACCTAATGCCCCTGATGCAGCACTCAGAACTTGTGTGCACTCCTGTGGTGTGAGATGGCAAACTTGTCGGAACATCCTGATCACATTGGGTATCAAGCTTATTGGACAACTTTCCTCGTCCCCAAATGTTTCCAGCTGGCCCCCTCCTGAAATGGTCATGATTACCATGTCATGCTGATTCATAGAGCCACTAAAATCTGACCCGGGAGAGAGAACTACAGATTGGTTCAATCCAAACGCCCTCATTTTATAGTCAATAAAATTGAGGTTTTCTCTGATTAACCAAATAAGCAATCTTATTAAGCTGAACTAGAAAATAGTAAACTAAAATAGAGGAAATAAAATGAAGTGAGAAAAAAATAGGAAGGACAAATAGGAGAGAGAGAAAAAGGAGGAGGGCTAGACGGATGAAAGAAATGAACAAATCCTATCGATATATAATAAAAGGTTAATATGCAAATCAACCTAACAATCACTTGCTATGATGCACACTGACCACCAGAGGGCAGATGCTCAGCACAGGAGCTGCCCCCTGGTGGTCAGTGTGCTCCCAAAGGGGGAATGCTGCTCAGCTAGAAGCCAGGCTCATGGCTGGTGAGCGCAGTGGTGGTGGTGGGAGCCTCTCCCACCTTTGTGGCTAAGGATGTCCAACTTCTGGCCTGAGGGGGCATAAGCTGTCAGTCAGACATCCCCCAAAGGCTCCCAGACTGCAGTAAGGTGCTGGTCAGGCTGAGGGACCGCCCCGAGTGCACCAATTTCATGCACTGGGCCTCTAGTCCTAAATAATAAAAGACTAATATGCAAATAGACCGAATGGCAGAACAACTGAAACAACTGAACAACCGGTCGCTATGACGTGTGCTGACCACCAGGGGGCATGTGTGGAACATGGCAGGCATTGGCCATGGTAGGATGGTGGAGCAGGTGAGGGGGTGCTACATGAAGGGTGCTGTCATCAGGGCGAGCTTCTGGTGGTTCCTGAAAATTCTTTGCTCCCACATGCCACAGTCCTGCCTGGTGCTTGCACCTGCTGCTGATGCTGGCCCCGCTCGCGCCTGCTGCCAGCACTGAAGCCATTGCTTGCACTCGCTGCCAGTGCCTGGCATCGGTCCCGATCACTAGGTGTCGGTCCCGATTACTCAGTGCCATCAGCAGTTGCCAGCCCGGATTGCCCCAGAGGGCTTCTCCACCTCCCCTGCTCCTGAGGTAAGATCAGAGCAGCAGCTGCTGCTCACACCCACTGCTGGGGCTGGCCCTGCTCACACCCACTGCTGGGGCTGGCCCTGCTCACACCCACTGCTGGGGCTGGCCCTGCTCACACCCTCTGCTGGGGCTGGCCCTGCTCACACCCACTGCTGGGGCTGGCCCTGCTCACATCCACTGCTGGGGCAGGCCCCAATTGCTCCGAGCGGAACGGTGCTATCAGCCCGTGGGAGTGGCAGTGATGGGGGTGGGGAGGCTGGCAGACAGGGGACCGGGAGTTGCACTGGGAGGGGCCAGGCAGGGGTGTGGAGGATCAACTGAGACCTGCCCATGTGCCTATCACAGCCTTGCAGCCCATAGTTCCTCTCAAGGTGCATGAATTCATGCACTAGGCTCCTAGTATAGAATAAGAGGGAAAAGGTGAGTGAGATTAATAGTATTATTTTTATCAAAGACTAAACACAAATATCTCTGGTTTTTAATCTTAGTAAAATCAGCATGTAACTAGAATCACAATTCATTATTTGGATTAAAATATAAATGAGAACAACTAATATTGACTTACTGTACGCCTGCCACTGTGCTAAGGAATTAAGAGCAGTTTTAAATTTAATCATTAAATCACCCTATAAAGTAATTAGTATTATCCTGTTTTAAGAGGAGGTCCAATGAAAGAGGTTGCAAAGCAAAACATATTATTATTCCAGACATAAAAGATTCTTTATTAAAATGCAAGCTTGCATCTTGTTGGTCTTTGTTTGTAACTGAGTAACTAGATATTGGCCACTTGCCCAATGACTGGTAAGAATAAAGATTCCAGAAGTTCCAGAACTGCATTCGTCAATTTGGCCAAATAAGAACAGAGCCCTGTTCACTATCCAATCTTTTTTCTCCTGTTTTAATATGCTTTATATTTTGAAAAAATTTGCCCAGCATCTGGTGTCATCAGCTTTAGGGTTATTTCTTTTAAATTAATTTGGCAGCTACCTGCCTGGGTGACATTCACGCCACACCAAATCACCGTTCAATGTGCCTGTTGTCAAGGTAATTGGTTAATTTCATGATATAAATGAAACTTAAATATATCACAGCATCTTCTAGAAATCACCAGGATGAGAGCATTAAGTCTCAGCCAGAGGGATTTCTATATTTTCCTTGCCTTCAAGAGGCTCCACAATGTTACAAAAATGGCTGTTATAACACAAACAAAAAACAAAACAAAACAGGTGCCACACTTTATTTCCTAAGTAAATGAGCACATGTACATTTTCACCCTACACGATGTGTATCCCTTACTTTATCTGCCTCACCATGTCCAATGGTCCTTTAATTTATGTTTGATATTTCCACCAGGATATGTTTTTCAGATGATCATTCTGTACCATATCCCTCCTACCCCTGGAATAAAATGTGCTCTTTTGCTAATGATTCAAATCTTTATTTTAAGGAAGTTTTCTTCTATTATGTTTCAAATAATTATCTCTTTGATTTTCTTCCCCCCTGCAGGAACACAAGTTAAGTATATATCAAATCATGGTCTGTTTTCAAAATCTACTTTGTTAATTTATTTAAAAATATATTGTATTGATTTTTTTACAGAGAGGAAGGGGGAGGGATAGAGAGCTAGAAACATCAATGAGAGAGAACCCATGGACCAGCCGCCTGCTGTACCTACCCCCACCCCTCCCGTCTCACACACACACACACACACACACACACACACACACACACACACACACACACACCCCGGGGTTGTGCCCGCAACCAATGCACATGCCCCTGACCAGAGTCTAACCCGGGACCCTTCAGTCCACAGACTGCTGCTCTATCCACCGAGCCAAACTGGTTTCGGCTGCTAATTTATTTTATATTATTTCCAGAGGCCTGGGGGCACAGGATCGGCGCACTGGTGGGGGGCATGGCCTGCGGGGATCATCCCGCTGTGGGAGTGCTGCTCAGCGCCATCTGCCAGATGGCTGCGGACTGCCCTCTGAGCGGCTGCCCCCTGGTCCGGCGTCTTCCGTGGAGCTGGAGCACTCACCTCGCCAGGGGACCTGGTCTGGCCCGGGCCCAGGGACAATACACAGCCTGAGAGGCAGCGGAGTGGGCCTCAGTCCCATGGCCACGAACCTGCCTCCCGGCCTCCAGGGTCAGTTCTGCGAGCCCGGTGGCGGCACTGCATGGCCTGCGGCCGTCTGGAGGAGGTAGCAGGGAGCCAAGAGGAGGAGCCTGGGTGAGGAGATGAGGATTGCAGCCTAGGTTCCTGCCTGTTGGCCTGGGGTTCGCAGCCACTCATCCCTGTCAGCTGAGCGGCACTCCCGCTGTGGTAGTGCACAGACCACCAGGAGGCAGACGCTAAATGCAGGAGCTTCCCCCTGGTGGTCAGCGTACGTCATAGCAACTGGCCGCCTGGTTGTTCTGGTCATTATGCTGTTAAATTGCTAGGCTTTTATTATATAGGATATGAATACTCTTTTTATTGTTTGTGTGACCCCTTAATCCCATTGATCTTGCTCCCTAACCATGTTTACAGTCCTGTTTATTTTTAAGTCCTTTAATGTGGTGGTAATCTCTGTAATATTTTCATTTTTTTTCCTCTCTATTGATTTTTTTTTTTTTTTTTGAGATGAGTATGTCTATTTTCCAACTCCTGTGGGATCCCCTTTCACATCCTGCATGGTTCAGGGTCCCGGTTCAGGGTTCGGGTTCTGGAGAAGGGCTGCACACAAATGAAAGGAGACTAGAAGAAATTTAATTTGGCCATATGGAGGGCCAGGCAGTAGTCCAACTCTAGTGGGAGAACTACCCACTGCTCTGGCCCTGCTATCCCTTTTATTGAGGGTATGGGAAAACACCCATAGCGCTTAGGCAGGAAATAACAGAAATTTACATAGGACAGAGGTGGCGGCTGCTTCAGCTAACTATGTCCCAACTAAAGGGTGAGTGGTTAGGGCAATTAATGTTGTTGACAGCCTTCCTGGCTTCCTGTCCACATCTCTCTATTAGTGAAACAGTAATTGGTTTCTGGCAACTTTGTTTGTTAATTTATCTTTTCCTTGAAATTTCCTCTGCTTTAAGCTCTTATTTTTAAGGAGAATATTAATGCAATTTTTGAATCTATAGAAAATTGTTTTTCTAAAATTTTCTTGGCCATTTTCTTTTCATATAAATTTTGGAAGAGTTTGTTCTAGGTCTGTGAAATTTGCTGTTGGTATTTTAATGGGGACTGCATTGAATCTATAGATTGCTTTAGGTAGTATGGACATTTTAATGATATCGATTCTACTAATCCATGAACACGATATATTCTTCCACTTGTTTATATATTCCTCTATCTCTTTTTTTCAATGTCCTGTAGTTTTCTGAGTACACGTCTTTTACCTCCTCAGTTAAGTTTATTCCTTGGTATCTTAACTTTTTTGTTGCAGTGGTAAGTGGGATTGTTTACTTTCTCTTTCTATGAGTTCATTTTTGGTTCTGGGCCATTTTGGAGGACTTACTATTTTGATGTCCATATTTTTTCAGCTGCCTTTTAATTTAGATTCATTCCCCACCTCCTTTTCAAATTTTATTTCCCCTAGGGATTTCATGCTTGTTCCTTCCCCATGAAGGCAGTCCATAACTTTTACTTGGGTTTTTTTCTTAAATGAGTTGTCACAAAATTTTTTATATTGATTGCTTTGGGAGCGTATATGGGACACATATCCCTTCGGGCTCATGCATTTAAATAGTAAGTATAGCACACAAGAAGGACATTTGGGTCATAGAAACTGTTTTGCTGCTTTCTTTTTTCCTTCAGTTATAAAATCTTATCTCTGTTGAAAGGATGATTCCTCTCTGAGACACACTTATCAAATCTCTCTACACAATTATGAAAGAGTTACTGGTCCGATTTTTTCTGATTGCCTGCTATGTAATAAAACAATATGTGAATGAAGTGATAAAAGACAGAATTCATATAATATTAGGTACATTTTTTTTTCTTTTTCATTTCCAGACTGGAAGAAAACCTAAAATGAATGGAAAAACAGAAGTTTTCTAAATAAATTGGAGACAATCATGACTTCCTACATTATTGACATTACTAGAGGCTCAGTGCATGAATCCATGCACATTGAAAGGAAGTTAATTAGGACAAATATTTTAGAGGCCTGGGAGGAACCAGCAGAGGTTGGCTCCTGGGCATGTCCAGCCCTTCCAGCCCAGTCCCAATCATCCGGACCACAGCAGCAAGCTAACCTACTGGTCGGAGAGTCTGCCCCCCAGTGATCAGTGTGCATCATAGCAACTGGTCAAGCAGTCGACCTATCAGTGGGACATTTAGCACATTAGGCTTTTACATATATAGATTATAGTCTGACAGGGAATTTGAGATATCAGAAAATTAAAATTAAGTCAAGCCAATAGTGAAATACAAATATTATTCATTGTACTCTGTGAGATGATTACTTTGGAGTGACTCAGCTTCACTAAAAAAAACTTTTAATATAAATACAAATTTTTAATGGAATTAGTTCAATGAATTGGAAAAATTAACTGTAAGGGATGTAAAACTCAATTAATATTAGCACTTACTTTCCCCAAAATTACCTTTATTCAGAATGCAAATGCACTTCTGGCAGGACAACAAGACCCTTAAAAATCCCAAAAAATACATTAACCTTCTTTAGGTTCCAAACATTAGGGCAATTTATATTAGCTTTGAGTCTATTTTTTTTACTTTTAAAAAATTATGTATTTTATATATTAAAAATTTTTTAAATTATAATATACATTCAATGTTATTTTGGGTTAGTTTCAGTTGGCAGCATATTTTTATCTCTTTTGACATTAAATGTTTTACTATTTTTTAAATTTATGGTTTTTATTATTTCCTTCCTTTTAATTCTCTGAGTTTGTTTTTAAAAATTAACACTATAGAAATGGATATTTAGCCCACTAATATTCAGCTGTTCTTTTTTGAGTCTACCCATTTTGAAATGTAACATTTTCATTATGATTCAGCTCATTTTTTTTCTTCTAATTTCTGGTATTTTGTTAAGTCATTAAAATGTAGAGATGTTTTATTTCCAAATACATAGGAAATGATCTAGCTGGCATATAAAAAATATACTTTTACCTTCATTAAACTGTTGTCAGAGACCATAATTCATATTAATTAAATATTTTGAAATTTGCTGGAATTCCCTAAGTGGAACAATAATCTTTGTGAATTTTCACAAGTGCTAGAAAAAAATGGATACTCTGAAGTTTTTAGATGTAGTGTCCTAAATATGTCCATTAGTTCAAGTAGTTTGTTCATTGTATAATTCAAATATCCTATATCATTGACTTTTTTTTGTTTATTCTATAAAATATTGAAAAAGCTATAAATACAATTTCCTACCATGATTCTGAACTTATTTTCCCTTGAGGTTATATAAATTTTGAGACTATTTTCAATTTTATTTTTTAAAAAATGTTGTTGAGTACAAATTCTATTTTGACAATTATTTTCCCCAACTCAGTTGAAGATATCTGTTTACTATTTTTTGTGGTCCATGGTTGCTGTTGAGGAATCAGCTATAAGTCTTTTACTTTGAAGAAGGCGATCTTTTGGCTGCTTTTAACATTTTAGTGGCATCTTGATAAAGTTTTAAAATAAACCATATATTAGAAGCCTATACATAAGTTTTGACTGATGTAAAAATGAAAGGCAAATAGAAATAGTGGATTGAAAATACTCAAGGAAAATGGAGTCAAATTAATATATATCAGGATCTATGCTTACTATTCATATTGACATCATTAAATCTGAAAACTGAACAAAAGAATTAGGTATCATTATCCTCATATGAGAGGGAAAACATCGAAGGTTGAGGTTTTCATAATCTCTAGTATTATAATTCGCCTAGAGGCTACTTTATTCATAGAAGTTCTCAACTTAAAAAACAAAACAAAACCTGATAATACTTACCATTAGGTATAAGCACAAAGCTAGAAGAGAGGTCATCAGGTCTCAAAATATTTGTAAAGAAAATATGGTACTTACTTTGTAAAAGAAATTTGTTCTCCCGACTGCTCCAATCTTCCCAGTGTGATTCATAAAACAAATGTTTCCTTCAGTAGCTCCGTAAAGCTCACACATCTTGATATTTCCAAATCTGTCTAAAAATTCTCTCCATACATCACTCCGCACACCATTTCCAACTGCCAAACGCACCTGATGATCCTTTTCTCCTTCTCTCTGTTAGAAGAAAATATTATACTTGTAACTTATTAATTCTAGGTTCCCAATTCTTTCTTTCATTACTATTACTCAAATGGTAAATACCTAGAAGCTATGTATGTGCAATAATGAAAGGAAAGTAAAAAAAAAAACCCCAACCATGTAAATCTGTTGCAGAATCATGTTCAAAAGCTAATGAAACTAACCTGGCCCAGAGTAATAAGCTTTATTTCCCCATATGTGAGAAAAGCTCTTTCTAAACTCCAGCTTATTGAAACCTTATTTTGATAAAGATCAGTAAGGAAAAAAGCATATTTCAGGGGGGAAAAAAGCATTACTAAAAAAAAAATTATAAAATATACTGGAGTTTGTACTCTTAGCTCTATCTATCAGTATATATACTAAGTATATCTTATAGTATACTCAAAGGTATCCATTGTCTATATACCTTTGAACAAGAGGTTGAATACTATTTTGATTCTCAATTTATTCATTTGCAAAAGCTGACAATAATACCTATTAATCTCACCTATACTATACTGCAGTATACAGTTAAGCCTCATTCCTAGCATATAGTAAACAATAAATTGAGGTCATCTAACCACTATATTTGGTTTGCAAATATATGATTACTACTTGTAACTATTATATTTTTTAATGTGCAATATTCTTATATTTTTACTTCTAAATCATGTTAGAATTTAAATAATTATAACTACATTTTATTCTACATTCAACAAGCATTATATTAATTAATATGAATATTACAGTAATCAAAAATCATAACCTCACACACCTGTTAGAATGACTACTTTAAAAAAGACAGGAAGTAAGTATTGGAGAGGAACTGGAGGAAAGTGCGCTGATAGTGGAATTTCTAGAGTGGATTGCAACCACTATGGAAAACAGTGTGGACTTTCCTAAAAAAATTAAATACAGAACTACCAAATGATCCAGCAATTCTACTTCTCGGTATCCATCTGAGATAATGAGAACACTTATTTGAAAAGGCATATACACCCTCATGCTCCTTGAAGAGGCAAAATATTGATAGCAGGAGGCTACTGTTTATCTTGAGAGAACTACTCAATAAACTAATTTGATAAAATAAAAATGAAGTAAGAGACAGCTAAGACGATGGATACATTGGAAATAACAGTCTGAATTGCTGCTGCAGGTGTAGGACCCACACCAAAGGAATTTAAGATAAATATTTTGCAGATAGAGGGGAAAAAAACCCTCGCTCAAAGCAGGAGTTCCTTCCAAAACAAAGGATTTCTTTCTACCACTAACTAGAACTCTGAGGAGTCTGCCCTGCTCCCACCTCTGGGCCTGCCAGATACTGCCCACCCGCAGGAACTAGCTCTTGGACTTCCCATTGCATTTTCTATATAAAACACTAGTGTCACAAATCTTAGGATTTGTTCCGTCTGAACAGAGAACTCTTTAATATGGAATAACTGCTGGATGCTTTTCAAGTCAGAGGTGAGTTTTAGTAAGCAATATTATTTATAAAATGTGTTGGCACACTCTGGAAACCGATAAGAAGGTGATTTATAAACTAAGTCCCATAGACTTTAACCTGTGTGGGCTTTAGCTACACAAGTTTACTAAGTAAGAATAACCATTCATCCAAAATGATGTAAATGGTATAGAAAATCCAATTATCGGAACTAAGATGTAAGTAAAAATAAATACATATAAATAAAAATAGTATGTAAATAATAATGTAAAAATTATTTGAAGCCCTATCGCCCAAAATATATCATTATTTTTGGTACAAACACACACACAAAGAGAGAAAGGAAAGAAAACCCAGAAGTAAAAAAAAAAATAAGTTTACAATGGAAATTCTACCTAAAAGATATATACAATAAGATGTTATAAAATCTAAATTAAGGTTTAGCAAACTATAGATTACAGGGACCAAATTGGGACCACTTCCAGTTTTTATAAATGAAGTTTTATGAGAACTTAGTCAGACCCATTTCTATGAATTGCCTATTGCTGCTTTTGCAACAGAGGCAGAATTAAGTAGTTGTGACAGAGACCGTGTGACCCACAAAACAGAAAAGCTTTCGAAGCCCCGAAGTAAAAACAACCAACAGTTCCTAATATTAACACACGCCCAGTACCATCTGGTTAATGGGCAACATATCGGTGTTACAAGAATTGGTTCATTAAGCGTTCTCATTCAGATCCCCACGTATGTTCATTTTATGTTTCTCTCTTAGGAAGGGATCTATCTCACTGAAAATAACTGGGAGTTTGTTTTCTTTGTAAAAGGGGTGAAGAGTGTCTTAGGCACATTGAACATGTTGGCAGGTGGGCAAAATATCCGTCAGACGAGCCTTAAAGCAAAACAAAAACAAACCCACAACTGCCTGCCTAGCGATGCTGTGAAGTGCTCCTGGGAGAGGACTGGAAGCCAGGGGAGGTGTGAAAACATGTACCTGGCAACGGCATGATGGATGGGAGGTGGGCGGGGGGAGAACAGTGGCTGAAGTGATCCCGGTAAAAGATGAGAAGGAGAGGAATGTAGGTTACGGTCAGGAGAATGAACAAGGAGAGTCAGCAGCATGATAAGGGCGAGGAAAAAAGAAATAATCAAAACTGGCAAAAGGAGCCTTATAAAGTGACCCTGGAAAACATGGAAATTGAGAGAAGGGTCTGAAGGTTCCTAATTATATTTGTTTTTTTGTGTCCATTTTGAAATTGCTGTGAAACTAGCAGTGCATCATATAAAAAATAGAACCAAGTCTTCATAACTCCCATCTATAATTCTAAAAATCCCCTTCTCTGTTCATCAATTCCCTTGAGCTTTATTTAGGACAAATTCCCATTCCCTTTAATTCTCCCTGAACCCTGAGGTTACTACCTAAATATCACTGGGTATCATTGGGAATGGACTGAGGAGAGCATGCATGCATAAATATGAGTACAATTTAATGAACGAATGGATATATAACACCTGCATATACACATACACAATGGAAAGAAACAGTGTGGCAGAGACTGAGGGACAGAGAGACAAAGAGCTGGATAGAGTCAGAGAGAGTGCATGAGAGACAGACAAACTGAAAGCAGGAAAGACAGAATGAAAGTGAAAGAAAGTGAAAAAGCCACAAAGAGCAAGAAGAGAGACAGAGTGACAAAGAATATAAACAAAACAAAGAGTGAAACGGAGGTAGTACATAGAAACATAGACAGAGTGAAGTATGCACAGAAATGCAGAGAGACACTCACACTCATACAGGGATGCCAAATGAGGCACATTCACACAGAGATTCATTCTCTCTCTCTCTCTCTCTCTCTCTCTCTCTCTCTCTCTCTCTCTCTCTCTCTCTCTCTCTCTCTCTCTCATACACACACACACACACACACACACACACACACACACACAGAAAAACAAAACAAAACACATACACCTCAAACAAATTTGGACACAGAGAAAGAAGAGAGAGGGAAGAGCCACACCCAAACATGTTGGCACAGTTGCACAAATATTGAGATATACAGAAAGAGATACACGCAAACCGAAAGACATACAAAGAGAAATCAAGGTAGAGAGAGAGACCAAGAAGGAGCAAATACAGAAATCCAGAGTGCAGCATGTGGGGACAGGAACAAGAAGCATGTTTGCAGCCCGATCAGGAAAAGCAATGGGAGTGAATATGTTTGAGCTTTATGTCCAGGAGTTCAGGCATTATCTCATTTCAATCACCACAATATCCTACACCAGTGCTCCTGAGCCGTGGTTTACCACTCTGTTGACTAATGAGTTTGCCCAACACTGCCCTATACAATAAGAAGTATTAGCCCCATTTTCTACACTGAACTAATGAAGTTCAGGTCCAAGATCACATACCAAATAGACAGAATTTGAATACATTAAAATGTAAGCACTATGTGGGCAGGGACTGTTGCCTATTCTATTCTCTGCTGTATCAATTGCCCCCTAAGACCATGCCTGGTGTATACTTTTACAATCCATTTGTAAAAGTAAGAAAGAAAAGTAGGGAAGGCAGGTTCAAGGAAGGAAGAGAGAGAGAGTGGGAGCAGGAAGAAAGGAAGGAAAAAAGAAAAGGGAAATAAGGAGAAAACCAGTTTTAAAAACCCTTAAAACCCCTTTCCCCCCCAAGCTTTTCTCCATGATTTCAGTAACAGGAAGCAATTAAAACATGAGTTTCCAATTCAGTAGTCAGTGTTTAAATGTTGACACACTCCCACACATGTGTAGAGTAAGCCATTTTTTTTTTTTTTTTTTTTTTTTTTTTTTTTTTTTTTTACACAGAGAGGAAGGTGAGGGATAGAGAGCTAGAAACATCGATGAGAGAGAAACATCGACCAGCTGCCTCTTGCACACCCCCTACTGGGGATGTGCCCGCAACCAATGTACATGCCCTTGACCGGAATCGAACCTGGGACCTTTCAGTCCGCAGACCGACACTCTATCCACTGAGCCAAACCGGTTTTGGCGAGTAAGCCATTTAAAAAAAAAAAATATATATATATATATACTAGAGGCCTAGTGCATGGATTTGTGCAGGGGTTCCTCAGCCTGGCCTACATCCTCTTGCAATCTGGGGCCCCTCTAGGGATGTTGGAGAGCCAGTTTTGGCCTGATTCCCATAGGCCAGGGGCCAGGAGGGACCGCAGGAGAGCTCCAGGGTGTGTCCAGCCTGCCTAGCCCAGTCCTGATAGGTTGGACCCCAGCAGCAAGTTAACCTACAGGTCAGAGCATCTGCCCCCTGGTGATCAGTGTGAGCCATAGCAACTGGTCAAATGATAGGAGGGACAATTAGCATATTGGGCTTTTATATATATATAGATAGATAGATAGATAGTAGTAATTTTATCTTCAGCCATTTAAAATCCCATTTACTACGAGAATTTAAGAGAGAATTTACTGAATGGGTCAGAGGTTTTAATATTACCCCCAAATTTTGGATTTCAGCAGATAGTTTTCTTCTGGCTTTTAGTGCCTGCCATGCATCAAATTAATGTGACAGTACCGG